AGAAATCAAATAGTTTGAAGTAGACAAAAAGAATTATCTCCAGACCATGTACAAAGAAGGGACAGGTGTGTACTGATTTGAAGCATAGTTTAAATTGCAACGACTTGCTTTCCTCTCTGCACCGTGTGACTTTTCATCTTGCCCGTGTCTTTCGACCAACGAGCGTAGCTCAACGGTCGAATAGCCTTGATGAATGGAAGACATGCGTCTTGGAATGTTATGCCCTGTACGAATGGTTGGGTTTAGTCGTGCGCGTGTGAGGGACACCGGATCCTCGGTGGAAGCGGATACCAACTTGAATGTGGGATCTTTCAAACGACTGGAAGGCATCAGATGCGGTGCCAGTGGAGCAGGTGGTGGCGGTTGGAGCCAACCAACTGGCAATTTCGAACTGTTTGTAGTACCATTTGCCGTGACCAAGGGATCTGTGTGCGTTGTTCGAGAGACGGGATTGCGCGATGATTTTGACCGTAGACGGTGCACCAGGCTATCGGCGAGCTGGCTGACTAAATGGGATGGATTCAGTGTATCTCCAGAGCCAAACAAACACAGTTCTCGGGTGAGAATAGCACACACTTCATCCACATTGTGTACACCATCAAACAGAGTGGATCGAACGGTGTTCCATGTCTTTTCATCCAGTGAGGCAGCCGTCTTTAATACCGACGTCGTGGCGATTGAATGAATCGGAGACAAGAGGGAGAGCTGACCCGATTGGCTTGGTGTACGTGTGACATGAGCAGGAACGTTTGTGGAGTCGGATATGTTTGTCTCGGGCTCGACAGACTCCATTCGATCACTGATTGGATAGCAACGAATACGATGAATAAGACCATTGGCTTCCCCGAAATGAATCAGATGCAAAAAGTTCACCTTCAACTGTGGTGATGAGGATGGGGAAGATTCTGCGGTTAGCGCAACTCCGTCCCCCTCAACCGGATCATAGAACCCCGTATTTCCACCCTCCAATTTGGTGGCTAGGTCCACAAATCGTATATGTGGAGTAGCCGATATCAAATGAGGGAGACTAAAATTGGGTGAGCCACAGAGCAGTGTATAGACTCTAAAAATGTCTATTAGTGCCTTCTTACGGACATATGGTTGGTTGAAATCCTCGGGAAAGTTGGTGATCTGTATGACAATGAATGAAAGTGAAAAAGCAAGTAATTGAATTTGCAACGTATTCAGAATAAAATTAGGGGGGACTAGCACAAATGATACATGACATGTGAGAATCACAAAACACGGAGTCAATAACCCATTCTAATATCGCTTTCGATCACTACACTGCACGACGGTATGAGCAAAAAGTTTCTCTGAAACCAAACCAACAAAATTACGGCGGTAACTCGTGGTTATAACAGCAATTTGATCCCTATCGTTGAATACATAGTGCAGTCTAGTTTACTGTAAAAACACTTAACCCGTGCTCATGGAACCTGGTTTCTGTTCTTTGTTCTCTAAATGGAAAAACGATAAAAACGGAAACCGTAACCAGATGAAATAAAACTGTGAGAGCACGTGAGTGGTCAAAAACCTGGAAGATCGACGAAAAGATGATACACCCGAAGGCCACCAAGCATCACAATATCATGCGGCTCAGATTGGGCTTATCAAGTGGTGCCAAACACGACCTGTTGGTTGATTATTAATGCCTGTTCAACAAATCGGAGAACAATTGATTTCTGTTGCTTTCTACTGTTCGCCCACCCCAAGGAATACTTGTCAATGGGGATACAACACAGTCCAATCACAAGAACATATGGAAATCAAACACTTGTGTCAGTGAACGATTTTGAAGACCTAACTTATCGTACGTTTTACCAAAGCGATAAACATGAATATGTACCATGGGTGGCTGTTAACAAAGATAAAAACAGTCATGTGACACTTGTGAATCATAAATAGAATCGCTCCGGTTCATTGAGCTAAGTAAACATGAGATCAAGACCGAATTCCGGTCGGCATCAATTGTATAAGTGGGTAGCAAAACTCACCAGGGATTGCAGACAGGCATCGCCAAGCAATCGATCAGATAACAGCACGGATAACCGGGGCAGTCCTAGCCAACCGGGATTGACAATAGGACACCCAACAATGTCCTGCACATTAAGCTGTTTCAAAAATGTCGGTGCTGGTAGGGCACGAATCACTCCGGCCTGGATCAGATTGGCTAAGCACATCCGAGTCGTGGATAGGTCCACGCGGGACAGATGAGCCAAATCCAATAAACGATTGATTCCGTTAATATGAGGCAATAAACGCTGACTTACACAGTCCTCTGCAACCCACCTGCCTGTATCACCGGGATTTCGTGCGCCTGCAGGACTAGCCAATACAAACACCGAATTGTCTAGCAAATCGGCAAATATGTGTGGTGCGGCGAACGCTGCGCTCCAATCACGAGTCTGATGATTCCGAATCACCGTGGTTTCATCAGCCCAACAATAACTCATGTGGTCATCGGTAGGTGAATTCGTGTCCAAAACAACTTCCTCATCCGCGTCTAGGGCCATGTCGTCCACTATGGACCCTTGAATTGACGGGCTGAACTAAGGGAGGAGAATCGATAAAAGTGAAAGTAAGCGGAGGTTGAACATTGTAAACGATAACGATTACGGCTCAGGGACGCAAAACCGTGTATTTCTATTTGTATAACTTGTGTAAGCTTATACGCTTACATTTCAGTTAAAATGCAAACAGTTCGTCACGCGGAATGAAATAAACAGTTTTATTTGACATGCAAGGTTTAGAACGTCGCTGAAGTTTGTTTCATGTACAAAACTGCTGGCGTAATTCACTTGCGACCTGTTCCTTTGGGGTTAGGAGTCGGGCCAAGTAGGGTACAGTATAGATGCCGAAATGAGGAACGTGTGGACGGATGGGATGCAGTGGATGAAGAGGGTCATTTAGAATCTTACTGGCAAATTTAACACAAGAAGTGATGTGACCTTCAATGAGTTCTGTGATTAATGGATCAATCGGGATAAATGATACACGACTGATGATCGTCAAACCACGACGGATTATTTTGAAATCTTGTTTTAACAGACCGGAAAAAACTACAGGAGAGCAATCCAGTAGAATGGGTAAAACGCATTGACGAACGAAAGAGAACAGCACTGACTGTGAGGTTCGGAATTGCCTGGGTTTGCGTAACTGAAAAGACAGGCTTCTCAGTTTTCCCATACAATGGTAAACATGTGTGGATCAATGAAGATTGATGGTGATGGTGATACCCAGGTACTTGACTGAGGCCACTCTGAATACAGGTTTACAGTTAAGGGTGCAGAGTACGTTAAAAATGAGCAGCGGGACAGACTGAAGATACACTCTAGGCACTAAGATATGTTAAGACTGAGACCAGGTTGATTATAAAACTGTTGGATGCGGGATAGATATTCAGTGAAAGAATCAAATTCCGAAAGAGATGAAATTGTTCAAATAGTTGTTTGGCAGATTTGAAGTTTGTATGTCGATTGTGAAAAGTTCAGTAGCC